GTGCCTGGCATAGTGTTCAACACAGAAGTGGGTCTTAAATGTTTGCTGACTGAATAAACCAGTCTTGCCCCACCTTACCCCATATGTGTGAATGCAAACACCCCATAGCAAATATAGGCATTTCATAACTTGAAGATGGATTGCTACTTTCCTTTACAGACCAGGGGAGCAACCACCTCCTCACTCTGTCCCCCACTGAATCATTGCATCTTCCTCTGTCCAATTCTACCAAACCTGCATGTGTGCTGAGCCCTGTTCCCTGTGGCCTATGCTGTGCTCACAGCTGGGGACGGCAACCCAGCTGGCGGACTTCCACTTTTGCCCGTGAGGCATTCAGCTTAAGGTGGGGACAGCTAAGAAAGACCATGTGAATGGGGGAGTGAACAATAACGGGCCTGGCAAAGAGAAATCTTGACTTGAAGTAAGAGAAAAGACCCCCGGATAGATGGGGGACGGAGTTTATAATCCATGCCACCTTCAGGACAAAGAGGGACACAAGTAGTTACTGGGTGAGGCTGCTGGTGGGACCAGCTGGATCTAGAAATTTACCTGGGAAGACGTCAAAGGAAACTCCTCTCTGTTCCATCCCTGACCTTCTGCACGCCCAGTCCAGTCACACACAGACATGCACACAGCCTCCCCTGGCTCCCTGAGCCCACAGATACCGGCCCCACACAGGCTCGCACTTACCTGTGTGGCAGTTGTGCAGCCAGACCCGGTGCCCGTCATACTTGCAGCGGCACCGCATCATGTTGTTAGAGAAATCAGACTCTGCCACCTCGTATTTGGGGTTCACAACCACCTGGAGTGAGAGGGGGACAGTTGAAAGCAGGTGATGTGGCTTCTGAAGCTGGCAGTGGCTGGAATAATCCTTTATATTTCCTGTCATCTCACAAAGGGTATTTCTGTTCTTCACTTCATTCGTCCTTACAGTCACCCAGAAGGCCGGCACTCTTGTTGCTATTTGACATTGTCCATTAAATCAAGACTCAAACCTAGGATCCTCTGGATCCTCATTCAGTGTTCTTTCCCCATAGCAGAGCTCCTTCAAGTGCCAGGCCTGTCGGAGGCCCTATTTGACCTTCCTTCATTTGACCTCAGGAAACTTCTGGAATATGTGCAGGAAATGGAGTTCCTGTGGGGAATCCCCAAACCCCCTTACCTGGAAGATATAATTCCCAGGGCCCACATCTGTGATGTCCACCCACTGGCAATCAATGTCATGCCGGTAGGTGTCCCAGCAGCCGACAGTCACTCCCTGCTCCCCAAAGTTGGCACACGCATAGCGCTTCTGTAGTCCTGTGAGGAATGGCGCTGATGGTTAGTGAGGCAGTGATAGGTGCTCAGGACCAAGCATTCTGCTCAAGTTGCTGTTTAATCCTCACGCCATTCGTACCATTCAAGTGCAATCAGATTAGGGACCTGCGATTCCGTTACATAACTTGCATGACTATCAGAGCCAGATTTCCTACTAACCATGAACCCAGCTCTAGCAAACCTCCATCTATGGCAGATTATTTCTTTGGATGCTCTAGTGGAAATTCCTGTTGGCTGTTGGCCTAGGATATACGGTTGGAAGGTTCCAGCCCTACATGCTAAGGATACATCGTCCAACCCTTTGAAGAGCCAGTGTTTGCCATGCTGTCCTTAAGGGCTGGGAACTGTGGGTAGGCAAGTAGGAATCTGACGATCTGTGCCCTCAAAGAACTTAGCCCAAGTGAAATAGCCCTGCAACTACTATCCAAAATAGTGTTAAGTATTTAGAAGCATTACGAAGTGCGTTCGGAATGCAGAGGCAGTGGACCTTCCACCTAAGATGTCAGAAGGTAAGAAACCGATCTTTCTGAATTGCCTGGAGTGCTGACTGTTGCCAGGCCAGAGTCTCCAGGTGTCTGAGGTGACTTCATCTGAGGGCAGAAGGGAGCCTCACCCTGAAGGGGCTGAGGAGTAGAACACAAGGAGGAGATGCTGACAGGAAACCATATACCTGTGGGGCAATTTGTGTCCTCCAGGCAGAAGCTGGCCTTGTGCCCCTCAGCCACCTTGGAGCCATTGAGAGTGAGTAGGTCATAGTGGGTGAAGACCTCAATGCTGTGGTAGTGCCTGCGGAAGGGAAAGAGCTGTGAGCTTGAGAACAAGAGGAGAGGGTCCTCTCTGGAGGAGCTGGCAGGTCAGTGCCCTTCTCCCTTTCCAACCCAAGATTAGTGGGACCCAGGGTCTACTTTCCCGTCATCCCCACCAGGCAGCAAGGCACCGCTGCCCCCACCCTCTAGGGCGTTAACCCAGGTGAGGGGGGTAAGTGCTGTCCTGGTAGCCTCCGGGAGGCTGGTGCCTGGCTACCAGGCCTGATCAGAGGCGGCAGGAAGGGACACTTCGAGGGACCAGCCTAGGAGTCCAGCCGCTGAGGAGCGGGGCTCACTCTCCTCCCTGTGAGCCTGGGACCAAATTGCTACCATTGTTTCCAATCCAGTTCTAATGACAACTGTGTTCATGCTGCAGGGAAAGGTGCTCATTATCTCAGCAAGGCCAAGTCCCAAAGTCGCTGCCCCTTCCACTCAGCTTTCCCCACCCTGCTGTGTCCTGAACAAGAAAATACCATTTTTCCATTCTGCCTTTGTTACAGGCATCGTCTGTCCTGTGTGGGCTGGAGACTCCTGACAGGAAAGAATGCCCATTGTCTCCTTTTAGTACAGGGTTCACACTTTTCTTTGGGGGCCTTGCTCTGCTGTGGCAGAAACCAGCAAACTTTTTCTGCAGAGCTAGCATCCTGGATGGGATGTCTATTTTGGGTCTCCAGGTTTCTAGGAGTCCCCACCTTAATGTGGTTTTCAAAGACAAGGCCCAAAGTCCAATGTAGAGAAATTATCCAATATTCCAACAGAGACCAGCTCAGCCGGCAATGACTGCTCCCCTGGCCGTTCCTGGGGAAACGCACCCTTTGAGCGCCATCAACTGGGGTACATCCAGGACAGGCAAGGGAGTGACCGGCTGGCAGGGCCGGTCGATGCTCCTGGGGCTCCCTAGTGGCTCCTGGAGGCAAAGCCAGTAAGGTGTCTAGGAAGGAAGGCTCTTAACCCAGAGTGCACACCCCTCCGGGAAAGTGAGTGGGGTCAGGGAAAGACCAGACTGGTTTGGTTCCTGGACTCTGCTTTTTGTCCCTCCAGAGCCAAGGCAGGAGCAGGCACTAACCTGTGGCACTGGTGCCAAATCCAGCTGTGGCGGCCTGTCTTGGGACGGAAGTCAGCCCGGCCCAGGTTGTAGATCTGTGAGGAGAAGCGCAAGAGGCGCCGGTGCCCGTAGGGCCAGTCCATGAGGTCGGCAGACTGGGACAGGCAGTTCTCTTCGTGGGCACAGTACAGCTGGCTGAGCGGGCGGTCCTCCAAGTAAGCCGTCTCCTGCACCAGCTGGGCATTCATCACAAGGTCCGGAGCACCTGGGGCCACAGGAGGCACAACGCCGTGCAAAAGGTAGGAAGGCGGCCAATTTGCTCTTGGGCATAGGGAGACAGGCATGCCCCCAAACCAAGCTCTTGGAGGAGCTACCAGAAAAGTGGAGCTCTACCCAGAAGAGTAGGGAGGTTTAGGAGTTAAGACTGGGGAGTTCTAGCAATAGAGGAACGATCTATTGCCTTGGCCTGGGAAGCAGGTACAGTGTCACTGTTAAGCATGATGGCTTTGGAGCCAGGCTGCCTGGGTTCAAATCCTGCTTAATTTCTGACTGCACCATTAAGTAGCTCTGTGACTTGCTTCACCTTTTGTCTCTCATCTTCCTCATCCATGAGAGAGGGATAATAATAACGCCAATCGTGCCAGTACCTGGAACGTGCTTAGGTCATTGTCGGGTAAGCACGCAGTGGATGTAAGCTAGTCTTTCTTTTGTCAGGTGCTTCTCAGCTCCCGGGGGCCTTTGTGTAGCCTGGCTCACAGTCCCTCCTCAGCCCCGCTGCCTCCAGCTTGGCGTCCTCAGCTCAGTCACTCCCTCTGGGTCTCAGTTCCTTCAAGGAACTGGCAGGAAGGCTCAGAAAGGTTCATCTCTGGGCCTGCTCCTGAGCTCTGCCATTCTGGTCCATTCCGCTGAAGTTCTAGGCCTGTGCCTCCTCCAGAGCTCCTGTTCTAACAGGATTGCTATCCTGGGTATTCATACCAGGCCATCCTGTGCTCTCTCCTCGGAGGCATCGTGGACATTTCTGGTGCTTCTCTGTGCATAAAAGTCCCCGTTGCTCGAAAGGCTGCTCAGTGCCTCTCCTGTTCCCTTCCTGTCACAGGGGCTCTTACCCACCCCACCCCCCGCCCTTGGAAAACACATGTTCCCTGTACAGAAATGTGGAGAGCTGCAGCTTTTACCATGTAACATCAAGAGAGAAAAGTTGCCCATTCTCAATGCTTGCTCTTGGAAAAGCTGGGTTACAGTTTAGATTTTTGGTAGAGGCATCCCCTGGCGGAGCCTAGGTGCTGAGGCTGGTGAGACGGGGCTGCTGGTTTATTTCAGTGCGGGGGCTGGGGGGGTGTTGGGGACGGAGGGTGATAGCAGGAACTGGCTGGGTTGCCAGATGATGCCTGTACTGTCACTAAATGCTCCTGAAATTCCTGTGGTGTGTTTTGGAGAAAGCCAGGCTATGCCCACTGACAGACCCTTGTGCTCCTGAGGGAAAGAAGGAGAGCTTTCAGAGAGACCGAGAAGGAGAGAGGGTAAAGGGAAAAAAGGAGTGAGAAAAACCACGGAGGAGAGATAGGGATGGTCCCACAGGCAGCAGGTCGCCTGTCTGTGCTCAGCTGTTGTGAAGTGTCCAAAGCATTCACCAGGCAGTAGACCAGGGAGGGGGTGCAGGGTTCCCAGGATGGGGAGACACTGGGGAGCAGGCCCCCAACGTGCTGTGAGCCTTAGTGCTGGGATGGCCCACTCTGGTGCCACATGATTGCAGGCGAGGGTGCACTGGACAGAGAGGAAGCCCCAGAGCTCACTGACAAAGGTCAAGGCTGTCTTGGCATGCAAGTTTGGCCGGGAAGAAAGTCAAGTAGTTGCACGCGTTGGTGCCAGCTTGAGCCTTTGGACTGGCCACAGTTATCTTGGCATCGGCCTGGTTGGCAGATGTCAAACAGACGCTGCCGGCCCGAGAATCTGGGTGTGGGGGGTGGACCGATGCCTCAGAACAGGCTTGGGCCTGTTGGGCCAACCCCACTGCTCCGGGGGAGGACACACAGCAGAGCCTTAGGCCGTGCACGCTCCTCACAGTTGCATTCCCCGTACAACAGCTTTCAGACTCTTCTTACTACAAGCTGCACTACGAAATGCATTTTACGCCGTGGCCCAGCACACACGTACATAATCCCAGGATGACTGCCCTTACTAAGTGTGACACATTCTCTCGTTTTCTATCCTGTTTCATTTTTTTTTTAACGGTCACGACAGGAAAATTGAAAATCACTGTTGGGTATCCTGGGGTTTTCTCATCTTCTCTGTTTTAATCCTCACAATAACTCCACGAGCTGGGCAGGGCAGGGCTGGATCCTCACGTGACAGGGGACTTGGCCACACACAGCTGGTAATGGCAGAGCCGGTGCTCCAAGTCCCGCCCTCCTACCCCCCACCCTTCCAGGGTTGGGGCTGGGACCAGCTCTCGGGCCCTCCTGGAGAATGGGAGGTGCGGGCTCACCAAACTGTCCCACCGGCGCCGTGGACTTTACTCACTGTCTGTGCAGGAAACTCCGGCCGAGAAGCGCCCCGCGCCGTGGGAGCAGTGCACCGGCCCGTGCCGCGAGCACTGCTGCAGGGCAAGCTCTGTGCCTGAGCAGCGCACGCCGCTCATCACCACCTCTCCGGCCCCCGGCGTCCCCTGCCAGTACCAGGTGTCCTGAGAAAACAGCCAGCAGCCCCTGGTTCAGGCCGAGGGGTGCTTTGGAAGCCTCTCCTCTGATGCTCGTGCTCTAGAGCCCTGTCGGACCACCCCTGCCCAGCTGTGTCCGGCCTCGGCTCAGAAGTCTTCAGGGATGGGACGCTCCCTGCTACTGTGCGCCCCTCCGAGAGCAGAAGTTTCTTCCGTTGCACTGAGGCAGGAAGATTCTTCCGCCACTGGCCTTGCCCCCACCCTGTTCCACACGGCTGCCCTTAGCTATTGGAGAGGGGGCCCTGTCCCCTGTCCCACTCAGGTGGCCTGCCCCGTTTCTCCAACTGTGCCTCGTGTCACCCTGGGCGGACGACTGTGGGTAGGGTTGGCCCCAGTTCTCTAAGTGAGGAATACCCGGCAGCCCCACCGGCCAGGCGGGCCCAATGGAGGACGAGGTAGCATCGCAGCTGCGCCCCGGCCTCGTGATTTTCTTTCCTTGGCGCCTCTCGAATCTCTCTGAATTTCCCCCAGGACGGCCACTAGCCTGGGCCACACCAGCGTGACTTCTCGGCTGGGCTATTGCCATGTTAGGTTTCCTGTATCCATGCTGATCTCCACCCCAACAGTGTGCCACACAGCACAGAAGAGATTTTCGAGAAACGTGCACTGCAGACTTCACGGTTTGCCTGCCACCTCCCTCACATATCACACCACTGGCCCTTGATAGCCCCACTCCGGCCCTGGTCCCTGATTTCCCCAATGGGGGCAAGCCTCCATGGGCCACAGGGTCTCTGCGTGGGCTGTTTATCCCCACCCCACCTTCTCCCGGTAACTTCCAGTCATCTTTCCTACAGACAACATACAAAAGTATGTGTCTGTTATGTGAATGTTTTCCGGTGACCGCCTTCCTCACTTTACTGACTGTCCCAAGAAGCAGGGGCCACATCTTGTTCTCCACACTGTCCCTGGTGCCCAGCATTCTATCGGCCCCCCAGTTTCACTCAAAAATTCATCACTGAATGAATGCAAGAAGGGTTAGCACTTGTAGCACAGGACGTTGGGAAGCACAACAGGAACCTACCTTGATCGCGTGGCTGGCAAAACCCAGGCCGAGCTGTCGGCAGGCCACCATGGCTTCGCTGAGCCCCCAGTGATCGCTGCACACGGCCCCCCAGCGCTGGACTCCATTCACCTCTACCTGCACCTCCACCACACCCTCCTCAGGGCTGCGCCCACCGGCCAGGCGCACCTGCAAGGGTCACAGGTGTGTGAGGAGTACAGTGGCCTCGGGAGGAGAGGGCTCAGGACAGCCAGCCTGGATCTGCCCGGCCTAGCTCGCTGTGCAGCCCTGGGCATGACACTCCTCTGGGTTCATCTCCTCTGTTCCTTGGGGACATTTTGCTAGTGTCTGATGTCCCTGCCCAAAAGGGACACCTGACTCCAGGTGCCTCACCTGCTCTGGTTTTTGTGCTCCTCTTACCTGAAATTCTACCATTAGTGATGGCTTTGCCAATGGCAGAGGGCTTTCATATCTATTGTCCCATTCACAATAACCCTGTGAGATAATTAACCCCAATTTACAGAAGAAAGCCATGATCAGAGACATGAGCGATCGACTTGTCCACCATCCACGTCTGCAGGGCCCTTGAATTCTGACCTTCCCACGCAGCCTTGCCAGTGCCTCTCCCAGCACTGACAGTCCTGCGGCCCTCTGTCCTAGCCACCTTCGTTCGCAGCCTCACCGGGGGCCTGAGAGGCTGTGGTGGGACAGCGTATCTGCCTCAAGGGTGCCCGCCACCATTGGACATCTCTGAGGGGATGTGGGCCAGGCCAGGGGACTTCGAGGAGAGGGCTTTACAGACTGGCTCTGAGAAAGTGCCCACTGGTTTGATGTATCCTGGGGCTCTCTCTCAGGGCTTCCTAGCCCCCAGCCTGAGGTCATGCCCAAGTCTGAGCTCACCTGATTCTGGAAGCCCATGTTAGGGACGTTGCACCTGACGGCGGCATCATTCTCATGTTGACAACCATTCTGGGACCCTTCCAGGGAGGGGCAGTCAGTGAGGGTCCGCTCATACCCCCTGCAGCGCACCTCACTCAGGTGGATGGGCCCCAGTCCTACGGGGGAGAGGGAGAGGTGCTGTGCAAGGCCCCATCTCTGTAACCCCACACCTGTGGTTTCCCCTCCATAGACAGGGAGACCTTCCTGTCCTGGGCCCTGGACACCAAGGGATGGAGCCACGGCACATCCAAATCCTCCCGCCCCACCCCAGGCCTCCTCACCTACCTTGGCCCAGCTGCGCCCCAAAGAGGGCCTCCCGAGCAGAGCCAAAGCCAAGCTGACGACACACAATGCTGGCGGAGATGAGGTTCCATCCGTGGTCACAGACGGTACCCCACTGGTGGTTCCTGAGCACCTCCACCCGGCCTTCACCCACCTGGGCCCCAGAGCGGAGGCGCACTTTCGGCTCCTGCTGCGAGAAAACTAGCTTCAGGGCAGGCTGAGGAGGGGGCAGCGGGCAGGGGCTGAGCCATGGCAGGGGGCCTGGGCCGGGCCCCTTCAAGCTGGGCGAGCCCATGACAGGGAGCTCCAGTCCCACCTCTGACAGCTCAGAGATATTACCTCCCATAAGCCATTTTTCTCAAGTGCTCTTTCTTCATGACAAAGAACCACCACACTGACAGTAGTAGTAACAAGGGAACCTTAGGAGTTGGGGTTCTTGGGCTTCTCAAGCCTTCCTGATCTCTGGGGGGGGGGGGGGGGGGGGGGTTCCTTCCTTTTGTCCAGCCCTGGCTTCTTCCCTTTCTTTGGGGCTGAACTAGATCGATGCTTCCCAAAGGGGTGTATGAGATGATTTGAGAGCTGCGCAGGGGCATGGCATTAATTAAGCTGACTCACACATTGGGGAAGTTACTCCTCCGGTCCCTCCTGTTTCATGGAGGAGGCCATCCCACTGTGGGGCCGCCATGTCTGTAACACCTCACCGGCACTTAGGCGTTGCTTTTTATAACAAAGGGCCAGGCTCAGGTTCAATACCTTCGGGCCTCAAATGGGTGTTAGCTACGATGTAATTACTGTTTTTATGGTTGCCTTCTATTCATGACAAGTGATGTCAGCTTTCCATTTATGGTCGGGATATAAATGGTTCCTTTTAAATAAATCCCAAGTTTCTACCATGCTGTGTCCTCCTCCCAGTCTGCACCAATGCCTCCTCGGTGGGGGCGGGCCTCCCTTCCCCTCCCCCCCCCCCCCTCCCCTCCCCTCCAGCCTGTCCTGGAGAGCCCCTCCCCACCGGTTCCTGCTCAGACCCAGCCCAACCCACCTCTGCCCAGGATTCCTTGAGCCCAGGCTTTGCCTTCGCAGGGCGGAAGCGGGGCCCTGCCACACAGCTGACCACAGTGTGCATGCCACCCGGGCATGCTGGCCGCAGCTTGCCCCGTGCTGGAGCCACCTGCACCTGGCAGTTGGCCATGTGGGGCTCTGTCCCCAGGCAGTTGACCTGGTGGATCCAGAAGGAATTCTTCTGTGTCAGGCTCTTCAGCCTGGAAGACAAGGGAGACTGAGGGTGGGGAGGGGTTGAGGGAGCTCAGGAGTCGGGGAGGCCAAGGCACTGCGGAGGAAAGGGACACGCCCTCCCCTTCATGCCACACCCCTCTGCACCCTCCCCTAAGGATGCTGCTCCTCACCTAGACTTGGGGTCCTTCATCTTCAAATTCCAGACTTTCCTAGGTGGGAGAAAACAGGTGGGGATGGAGTGGGTGCAGGAGACCCCCTGGGCCCTGGCTCCTCAGAACTGTTCTTGAGTTTGCACTGGAACTCTGTCTGTAAACTTGGCCGCATTATGTCAATGCTGAGCTTCAGCCCTGACGCGGGGTCTCTGCGCAGACACCGATGATCTCCATTTCCCAGGGAGAAAAGCGGGGCCCAGCAAGGTACCTTGACTAGTCCCCAACGGGGGTTTCTTCGGCACTGGACCGCCCCTGAGTGGGCAGCCCCCAGCTCGCCCTCTCCCCACATGCAGATGAAGGGGAGCCTTGAGGGAGCGCCCTGAGAAAAGGGGAGAGGTCCTGGGGGGCGGGTGCAAGCTGGAGACCTTGGTGGTGGGGGCTGCCCACTCAGAGGCTATAATCAGGGCTGCCCTCCTCCTCATGGGTGCTGGGCCAGTCAGCCAGGCCCAGAGGTGCAATTACCAGGCAGTAGGGAGTCAGGGGCCCTCATCCCAGTCATCCCCAGGGACGGAGCCACGCGCGCCTGGTCTTTGGGAGCGGGCCCAGGTAAGACAGAGACACAGGACAGAGCCACCAAACCAACTGGAGGTGTGCAAGGGGGCGACCACTCGGATGCAGGGTGGGGGCTTTTGCCCTTGACGAGAAACACATCTAGTTTTCATTAGCACAGAGCTGGTACCATTTAGAGGCTGATGCAATCTTGTGACAGTTCTGTCACGTTTTTGACAGTATTTTTATGTTTCCTCTCCCAAATGCTGCCCCACTCCATGTCCTGCTCACACGCAAAGCAGTCAAAGCCTGGCTCAGATCAGAGTGGAGGAAATTCCCTGCGGATTGGCTCATCGAGGCCCCGGGGGTCCTACAGAGGGCCCACAGCGTGGAGCTGGCAGAGCGGAGACCAGAGCTCAGGCTGTGTATACTTGTGGGCACCACCGTAAGTATCTTCAGTCAAGCCCAGTTTTTAAGCAGGGACACAGGTTTGCGTTCAGTTGTTTTCATCTGGGAAGCTTTCTGTACTACGGTCAATTCTTTTCAAATGATTAGCAAGTAGAGTGTTTTTCTGTTTCGAGGTTCTTCCCAGGGTCTCCAAGTTCATCCTCACACTCCCTCTCATTATTCTGAGAGGCCCGGCCATGTCCTGCCACAGACGCCACCCTGCCCAACTCCCTGAACTCTGCAAGGTCCCACATGTCACAGCCACGCACACGTACTCATACGTGTCTCTCTCACGCACAGACGCACACACATAGGCTCACACGTGGGTGCACGCGCTCGGCCACCGCCCCACAGCCCCCTGACCCCCGCAGCTCTCCGTCCAACTGTCCTCCTACCTGTAGTAGTGACTGTTGACAGGTGCCTCGCTGGGGAAGCCCAGCATCCCACACACCACCTTGCTGTTGTTCCTGGTCCAGCCCTGGTCACACACCTGCCGCCAATGTCCCTCGTACCTCACCTCCACTGCTCCCTCGGTCACCAGGCTGTGCCGCTTGGTGCTGGCGAGAATGGGCTTGAGCCGCACCTCCTCCAGCCGCCGGCCCTGCAGGGTACAGAGTCACTGTGGGCCCCAGGATTTCTGCGCCCACTGAGCCTGCTACAAGGTCTTCACATGGGAGAGCCGGGGCTCAGAGCACTTAGAGATCACTCCATCCAGGCTCTCAATGGACAGACCAGGAAACAGAGGCCCAGAGATGAGGTCATCTGTCGAAGCCACATAGCACAAGAGAACCTTGGTTTATCTACGGTCCTCTCTCAACTCTAGAGAGAACCACGCAGGTCTGTGCTCCCCCTGGGATCAGGGTCAGGCCCCTTGGAGTTTGGGAGGCTTCTGCTGGGCACAGAGGGGCCTTCTCTGTGTTACCCTGGGGAGAGCTGAGGATGGGCATGGACCAGCTGTTTGAGACTCCCAGCAGGATCTTTGGCCCATGGGACCCCCGCCCTGGCCCTGGGGTGACTCAGACCATGGGGACCACCCCACCCTGGCCTGCTGCATTTGTGGGCCAGGGCCAGCTGTCCTTAGACTGGGGCTGCCTGGCAGTTGGAGGGTAGGAGCCAGGACCTGCCCTGCCTGCTCCTGTTGTTTGGCTTGAGCTGTTTTTAGCTCGAGGTTGTTTGTGCCGGGAAGAGGCAGCAATTGTGGCCGGGCCTTGTGTGTGAGGCAGCCCCTCACCCCTGCTGCCTCCCTTGTGGGGAGTAGCTTCAGCGATCCCCAACAGGCCCAGCCTGAACCCCCAGCCTGCCCTGCTGTAAGCTAGGCCCTCTGTCTATGCACCTGTTCTGGGCCGCCAACATGACGTGGGGCTCCAGGGACGCTTGTCAGCCCACTCTGCTGCTTTTCCCTTCCCTCTTCCTCCAGGTTCATCACCCGTCCCGTGACCCAACACTTGGCTCTGGCCAGGGCCTGAACAGCCTCCTCACCTGGGGTCCAAGGGCATTGGAGACCCTCTCAGAAAGATAGCCACGCTGGCGCTGGGGGTGACACACCACCCCAATGTCCTCCGAGTGACTGCAGTCACTGACACCCCAGCCATTGGACATGCACTGGTCCAGGGAGCTCTCTGTGCCCATACAGCGCACATTGTCCAGCCAGATGGGTCCTGTGGGCAGGAGACGGGTGATGCTTAGGGACAGAGAAGCAAGTCACGGGTTGTGCCTCCTTCATAGGACCCCACAGTTATCAACTGTCTTCTTCCAGAGCCTGAGTAGAAGTGGGGGAGGGGAGTTGGTTCTCCTGGGATCTTGGTATCTACAACCCTACTTGCTGCCTCCTTTTGGCAGCAGGTCCTGTAGAATCTGTTTTTGGAAAATGCCAGGTAGGTTTAGTGATTAGATCTGTCCACCCATTCATCCATCCATTTGTTCACTCAACAACATTTGCTGAGCACCTACTGTGTGCCAATCACTCTGTAAGAATGGAGTAGGGTGGTGGTGGTGGTGACCTCACTGTAGGTGAGAGTGGGAGGGTCGGAGCAAGGGTCTCGTGCAGCCAGGGCACTCAGGAAATACCTCATGGACGAGGTCATTTGAGCTGGGTATTAAAGGATGGGCAGGAGTCTGTTGAAGCCTCAGGATGCTCAGCCTTTGAGAGAAACCCACTATCATCTCCTTGTCTTCCTGCTGGGCAGCACCAGGCACTCACCCTCCCCTTGGCCATACTTGGCACTGTGGGCCCAGGTCAAGGCTGTTTCAAAGCCCAGTTGGCGGCAGGCCACCGTGGCCTCCTGGAGAGCGAAGTCATCGTCACACACAGTGCCCCACTGGCCCTGGTACAGCACCTCCAGGCGGCCCTCCTCTGGCCTGCTCTCTGGGCCCACCAGCCGTAGCTTCGTGGTGCCCAGTGACTGTAGCCTGCAAGGAGGGGCCTGGAGCAGGAGCAGGAGCAGCATGAGCAGGGAGAGGGCAGCTGGTAGGGACCACATCGTGGTGACTTCAAGGGCAGCTGGGGCCAAGGCACCTGAGGAATGAGTAAACGTGACAGTGAGCACCACCTATACCCCTGACAGTGATCACCACCTCTACCCCTGACCTAGGCCTCTTCTGCTGGCTGTCAGGGACAAAAGACGGCAGGGCCCCTCCAAGTGTGTGTGCGCATATGTACATGTGTGTGTTGTGGCATCGGTGGAGTCTGGGCTCTGAGATTAGGCAACTTGGTCTAAACCCACTGTTCGCTGTCCGTGTGACCTTGAGGAAGTTTAACCTTACTGAGTCTCAATTTCCTCATCTGTAAAGTGGGGATAATAATCCTTGTCTCAGTGTTGAGAGTGTTAAACACTGTAGGTAAAGTGCTTAGCACAAACCTACCACACAGCACTCAGTAACTAGCTGTTCTCGATACAGTCCTATATGTTGGTAGAAGGGGTGGCCTACCCTTTGAGTCATAGGGGAGTCCCCAGGGTGCCCTCAGGTCCAGAATAGCTACCCCAGGGGCACGACTCTTGCACCCTGGCCACCCTCACCATGGAAGGCACGTGGAATGCTAGAGGGGAAACAGTCATGTGAGGGGGATCCAGGCCTCTACCACTCATTTGCTGTATGGCTTGAGCAGGTGTCTCAAATTCTCCAGGTCCTAATTCCTTATTACTAAAGTGACAAAACTAAGCCAAAAATTGTCTAACACTTCCTCTAGCTAAGATAGTCTATGATATCCTCAAGCTCTGGGTGCATCTAGACACGTGATTCACTGATTCAACGAACATTTTTGGAATACTTGCCTCAGGCCAATTATTAGGCCAGATGCCAGGACACAGAAGAGAAGACATCAAACACTTACCCCCTGCTCTCATGAAGCTCAGAGAAGGGGAAGCAGGGAAGGCTCTGAGAGAGGGGATACTTAATCAGGGCCTTGTTGGCTGAATAAGAGTTCTCCCTCTGTGGGGAAAGGGGTATTGCAGGTAGACAGAAGAGGGGGTAAAAGAGGAAAGAGGGCAAGAGCAGAAAGCGTCCTCTCTTTCCCCGGTACTGTAGTATTGGAGGCCTGGAGGGGGCAAGAGTGGAGGCACAGGCTGGGGCCAGATAAGCAAGGGCCTTGGGCACCACGAGAGGGTTGCTCTTCATTCTGTAGGAAGCGAAGGGCCACGGGAGGGTTTGAGGCAGTGAGCACACACCAGAGACAGGGTTCCTGTAGTCACATCAGGTGCTCTTTGGGTCCCTAGAGGGGGCTGAGGTTAAGGGCTGGCCTTCTCCCCCTCATGCATTAGCAGCCTGGGTCCCGGGAACAGGGTAGGGGAGGAGCAAAGGGGAAAGCGTAGAGCTGGTTGGGGCTGCCAGGGTGTCCACAGCCACCAGTGCTGAGGCTCCTCCACCGCCAGGCTCTGCAGCTGGTGAGGGGTTGAGGCTGGCCTGGAACAGGGTGGAGAACGTTGGGTCCTTGACTCCCTGTTCAGTGCTTGAGTCTTGAGAGAGCTCGTTCTGGGGAGACCCCCTCTTCCACGGCCACCGCTGCCACTAGGAGACTGCATAGCCGGTCAGTCTCAGCAGGGAGGGCCTCACAGGGCCCGCGCCACTCCTGTCCCCACAGACTGGTAGTCTGGCTGGGAGTCAGTCCTTGCTCCTTCCTGCACACAACCCCTCCCCCTTCAGCCACTGATCCTCCTGCTTTGGTGAGCCCAGAGCTGGGTGGGGGGGGGGGGGCTCCTAGGAGTGTACTAGATGGGCTCAGGAAGGATGCTCCGTGGGGACGGTGCCCCCAGTGCCCAGATAAGTGCCAGCTATGTATGTAGGTGACACCAGGCAATATCACGGCCGCATGGATGACACTGCACAGCGTGTACACGTACAGACCAGGAGTCAGACCACCTGGGTTCACATTCCACTTCCAACAATTAGTTTCTGGGTCGTCTCGGGCAAGTGATTTAATTTCTCAGTGCCACAGTTTTGCTTCTGTAAAATGGGGATCGTAAATAGCACCTACCTCGTGGGATTCTTGTACAGATTAAATGAATGATGAATACATGTTAAACCCTCAGAAGAGAAGCTCTCCATTGACAGGTAACTATTATCAACAGTAACTGTAACAGCCACTATAGAACCATTGGTCTGGCTTGGTCGCAGCCCCTCTCGGATAAAGGAATGGAGGCTACACCCTAAGTCATCAGCAAGTTCCCAGTACCCTTCTTTGTGACATTCTCCAGATGTGCCCCTTTTCCCTCGGAGCCCAGGTTCTCCTTGCTCCCCTCCCTGGGGCGGGGTATTATCTCCTCTCCATCTTCACCACTAAGTCTCTTCCCACCGGGATCCCTCCTGCACTTCCTTTCCAGACACAAACACTGTTTTCTTCATGTGACTCCTCACTCTGGGGCCTGTGGGGCTCCCGACCCACTGTCACCATGAGCAGCCTGCTCTCTGCTGCTTGGGGTGTGCCACTGCCTCCTCTGAGAACCCCTAAGGAGGAGGTGGACAGCTAGGGACTGAGCCAAAACCAAGTCACTGTGGGTAGGGACCTTCCACAGATGGTGAGAGGGTGAGAAGGACTGGGTTCAGGGCCCTCCAGCTGATAGGACCCACTGGGGCAGACCTGAGAGATGACCCCGCCCCCTGCCCTTGCCCCCATCCCCTGGGAGCCCTCACTCTGCCACCAAATGGCTATGTGACTTGAGTTAGGGGCTTCCCTCTCTCTGGGACTCAGATGCAACACCTATAAAATGAGGGTGTAGCACCAGGGGTCCTGCTAGTGATGGGCCAATGGGTGGGCCAGGCAGGTCTGCTGTGTGGCTTGTGGCTGATGTCCCACAGCACCATGGAGAGCTTACTGGAGGCCGAGCATAGTCCAGGGCCGGTAGGCTCCCTCCTCACCAAGAGGCCTGCCTGGAGGCGGGGACAGGCTTCTGCTGCAGGACCCAGGGATGGGGGTGGGGTGAGGCTTGCTGCCAGGAGAGCTCCCAGGGGAGTAGATGGGGCCGAAGCAGGAACTGAGAGTCCCTCCTCCCAGCCTTCCCGCCACTGCAGGGCCCCCTGTAGTTTCTGCTCACCCCAAACTTGCCTTCTCACCATTCTCCAAACATACGCTTCCATTCTCTGCTTCCACATCCCAAGCCTCTGCTCTCACTGCCCCTTCTATTTGGAATACGCTTCCCTCTGTCCCTGATTGTTCAGTTCCAACACCCAGCTCAAATGCTGCCCCTCCATGGAGCCCTCCCGGGCCCTCACCTTCCTAGCACTCTAGGTGTTTGCTCCCTATCTCCACAGCCAGCCTCCACAGTGTCTCCCTGGAACTCTTCCTCCAGTGCCCAGCATAGGGAACATGACCAGGCTGGGAAGCCTCCCTCAGAGAAGGAAACAGCCTCAAAAGTGGCAGTTCTTTTCGCAGGTGAAGGAGAAGGGCACAGGGTAGGAAGGTGGTGGTAGTGGTGGCGGGTGGTTAATAATAATACTTAATTATTAGAGTACATTTAAAACTATCCATGGAATACTTGTCTCTACTTTATAGATGCGAAGCTGAGGCCCAGAGAAGCTAAATAACTTGCTCAGCTGGGATTCAAACCCAGGAAGCCAGGCTCCAGAAGCCAGGCTCTCAGCCACAAGAGAGATGGATGCCGGAGGAGGAGGGGAAGGAGAAAGGGAGGCAGGGAGATGAATGAAATTCCACCCTGGTGCTGGCTGATTGATGGCCCAGCCGTGGTGTGAGGGCACTGGGGTTGGCGCCAGCACTGAGTGCAACCAAGTGACAGATCCAGGACCTTGCCAGCTTGAAGCTTGAAGCGGAAAGGCACCTGCTCCAGGTGCTACCAGGGGACTCTGGCACCTGGCCTGACCTGGCCCCTCTAGGATGGGCTGGAAATGCTCAAGGGTGTTCTGGAGAGAGCATGGGGTGGGTGCTGCCCTCATGGGCACCAGCCTCAGGGTCACTTGAAGCCCTTCTCTCTGGCTTTTGGGGATGGGGTCCCTCCCTGGGATCACTGATTATGGTGACCTGAAGCAGTGCCAGCAAATGGCTCTGAGCTCTACCATCCAGGCCCAGGCCGTGTGGCAGTCAAAGCCCTCTGCCCACCCTCATCCTCTGCCTCCCCACCCTCTAGCATAGCCAGCTCTGGTTTATTTAGTTGAAGAGACTCGCTCCACCCTGCCTCTTTGTCCCCCAAGTCACAGGCATGACATGGGAACCCACCTTGCCCCTTCCCCTGCCTCCTTCCTGGGTGAGAGGGCAGAGAAATGGTTACACTCAGCGTGTTCACAAACAAGACACGCAAGCACCCCAGGCCAGGGCGCACCACCCCGGGCGGGCCTTGGGCCAAGCTCCCTAATTTGGTCACTTCCACTGGAAGCAGGTTGGTGAGCTACTAGGGGACTAGGCCAACTGTCCACGGGACCCCTATCCCTCCCATACCCCAGCCTTCAGGAACCCTCAGAAGCTTGAAGCCCCACAGAGAGACAGAAGTGGGACAGACAGGACGGCAAGAGACAGACCCGGGGCCAGGGGCCAGGCGCAGGGTGGGGGGACGGGCGGGGGGGGGGGGGGCCCACCAGCTGGAGCACGGACGGTCGGGCTGGGGCTGGGGCCGGACTCCGCGGCCGAGCAGCGCTTACGGGCCTCCCTGGGCGCCCTGGGGCCTTTTTATCCGGCTGCTGCCCGCGGGCGCCCCCCACCCGGCCGCCCGCGGAGGAGGCCCCACAGGCCCCGCCCCCGGGCGGCCCTGTCGACGCGGGAGCCCGGCCCTGTCGGCCCCTTGGCTCTGCGCCCCCCGCCCCCCGCCGGGCCGCTGGCCAGCGCGCAGCGGGCGTTCACAGCCTCTGGCCCGGGAAGTCCTGGGGTCATGAAATTGCAGGGGGCGGGAGGGCTCAACTGTTTCCCCTGGAGGAAGCTGGCGCGCTGCAGCAGGAGAGACTGTGGGAGGATCAGAGTCCCCGCGAGAGACCGGCGGCGCGGCACCAGCGCGCTGCGTTTGCCTGGGGGTGCCTGTGGCCTCGGGAGCCCCTGTCCCAGGCGCAGTTTCCTCCTCTGCAAAGCCGAGTGACATGCCTGCCCCCCAGAATCCCCCCATTTAGTGAGTCGCGGGAGGTGTCAGCGCCCAGAGCACAGTATCCTTCACAAGGGAGTGCCTCACTGTCATAGGGACCACTAGACTCCCTTGGTGGGGGGCGGCCAGCGAGGGAGAGGGGCGCTCAGTTCAAGGGAGCTCCGGATGGTGTGGTGTCTGGAGTAACAGGTCCACTCCTTTGCCCTGGTCCCTTTAGATTTATTGAGTATTTCGTGGACACTAGGTCTCTGTTCTGCCCATTGTACAGTTATGAACGCTGAGCCCCAAGAGACAAGACCTGCTCCCCCCAGTTATAAACAGTAATTGGGAGAACTTAAATCCTCCTCTACAACTCCTTACAGAGTTGAATGAGGCAAGTCCTGGCCCTTGACAGGCCCGTAGCTGGAGGGTAAGTGGTGTGTGTGTGTGTGTGTGTGTGTGTGTGTGTGCGCGCGCG